CTGGGTCCCTCTGGTCCATCTTCCTGGGTCCCTCTGGTCCAACCAGGCTCCTCCCCATGCCCTGGCTTCTTGAGGTCTGTCCCCCGCTGCTGGGCAGGTGCAGAGCACCCCCTTGTGGTCTGTCCTGGCTCTGCACTCCCTCTGGTGGCTGGTGCCCATGGCTTCAGGCCCAGATGTGGAGGCCATGGTGGGTCCCTGGGTCCCCAGAACCCAGCACAGTGGGCTGAGTGTGCGGTGGGAAGTGGGAGCTAAGCTCTGGGGGCCTTGGGGCTGTTTAGAAGGCTTTGAAGTGATTGAGTCCCCATGGGTGTCTCGTCCTTGCTGGGCCACTTCCAGGGCTGACCTTGTCTGCAGACCCCAGAAGGGAATCTCCCCATGGAGCCGGGCGCGCCTGGTGTGGGCTGGTTGGTGCTTCGCGGTCTGCCCCCATCTCCTGCAGYGAGGGGGCCTGGAGTGAGCCCCGGCCTAGCTCCACCTGGCCCCATGGAGGACAGCAGAGAGGAGCAGGGCCAAGGGCATTCAAGGTCAGAACCTGCAGCCAAACCCATCTTCTCTTCTTTTTTCCTTTTTTTGGTTAAGGTCTTGCTGTGTTGCCCAGGCTGGCCTCCATCTCAYAATCCTCCTGTCTCAGCCTCCACAGGAGCTAGGACTACGGGTGCCRGCCACCACACTGGCTCCAGCCCTGCTTCTTGCCCGGGCAGCCCTATGGCGCCAACCTAGGAGGGCAGGAGCCAAAGGCCCGAGAGCCTGTGGGAGGGGTGCCTGGGTAGCTCTGCAGGCACCCGTCCTGGAGCCGAGCCCAGAGCAGGCTTCATGCTCAGGGCAGAAGCTCCATGGCCAGGAGGGGACGGCGGGCACCTGGCTGGCCTGTAGGATGGCCTCAGGAGTCCCCAGCCCCGGGCCTCCAGCTCCTGTGCATTTCCTCCCTTGACTCAGAGCTGGACTGCGGCCGCAGCGTGGTGGCCGCAGCGTGGCGAAGGCAGGGTGTGTCGCCTCTGCGTGGCCCTGGACTCTCCTGCTTAGAAGGCCACTCGAGCAGCCCCGGGAGCCCGCGGGCTGAACCGAGGCCCTGCCAACAGCCAGGCCCGGGATAAACCCCCGTGGAAGCAGTGCCCCCTCAGTGGAGGGGTCCCCAGTGTGGTGATGTGGGGAGGCTGCAGCAGGTGGAGCCCCAGAGGAAGGAGGTTGGGTCGCAGGCGCTGTCCTGATAAAGTGCACTTCTCAGGACCCTTGTTAGTTTAGCCACTTTGCTTCTGCCTGGCCCTTGAGTCCCTCTGGCTTCCCGTCCTGCCATATGATTGCTCCCGCTTGCACGTGCCATGTGGTGATGTAGCCAGAAGGCCCTCACCAGAGCCAAGCAGATGGGTTGTCCATTCTTGGGCTTGCAGTCTTCAAAATTGTAACTCATGAACCCTTTTATTTGTAAAGCACTTAGCCTCAGGTATTTTGTTACAGCAACAGAAAACAGACTAAGACACCAAGACTGGAGGTAACTGTTGTCTCACAGGGACTCAGCCAGCACTGCTGAGCCAAGTACCTTCAGATTCCTGACCCAGAAACCATGATRTATCTTCTGTTTTAGGACAACTTGTCATGGTCATCAGGTAACTAATACACGCTGGGGGCAGTTTCTCAAGAGTTGGGGTGTAATACCCAAAGGGTTGTTCTGCCCTCTAGCCCGACTGTGTCCCCTGAYCCAATATGGAGAAAGGGGAAGAGATGAGACACGGACCTGGACGTTGTTTTTTCCCTTCATTTAATTAACACTTTACAAAGTACAAAATATACTGTCTTTTGGGGAACATTAGGTACTCTTTTCTCTCCGCCATACAGTACATGAATCTCGAGGGTTTTGTGTTTCTTTGACAAAGAAAGTAAGCGTGAGGCCCCAGGGCTGGGGCGGGGCTTCCAGTTCTCCCCTCCGCCCAGGCCTCTGGGTGGACAAAGTGCCACTGCTGGTAACCCGGGCACAACAGGCCAGGTGCAGCCCAGAAGGGGCTGTGGGCAGGACGCCCAGCTCCCCAGCGAGGCTCCCCAGTGAGGCCCGGGGTGGAGGCCCAGGGTGGAGGCCAGCAGCGCCCCCCCCCATGCCCACTCGCCCACCTCAAGGTAACGGAAATGGTTTGGCATAGCGCAGGAGGGCCGGTCCTCTGTGGGCAGCCCCTGCCATGTGACGCCTGCTCTTCCTGGGTGTCTTCTGAACGCAGGGAAACCAAGGCAGGGAGGAGGCCACTGTCCGGATGTCTCCGTGTGGCCTTCCGGCACCCCTGTCCCCACCGGGCCTTGAACCTCACTGGACCCTCTCCTAGGACGAGCCCCATGGTGAGGGGCAATACCCCTGCCTCCCTGTGGACACCGTCTGCAGGTCCTGATGACGCAGGGTCCAGTTCAGGCCAGCTGCACGGATGGCCTGAGGGACGCCCGGTTCCCTGCAGAGTGGTCTCAATACCAGGGCCAGGGAGTCCTGCTTCCGCTCCCGCCCGGAGCTTGGGCCCATGGGGGGCTGCTGCCCTCCTGCCTCTGCACATGGCCCTGGGCAGGGACGCTTGGGGCCCGGTACTGCCCGAGCCAGAGCCTGGCTGGGACCTGGGCCCCGTCCACGGGCGCACAGGGCTCCCACGCGACACGCCCACACACATGCACGAAGGGTCACACACAGGACAGTCCCCACAAGCCACCAGCTGCCCCCCAGGCTGCTCAGGGGACCCCAGTGCAGGCACACCTGGTGCCCTGGCCCAGGACAAGCCACGGCCTTGGCCGGCGACTCCGCCTTTGCCTTCCCAAGGACAGCAGCCCTCATAGGAAGGCCACCCCTCGGCCTCCTCCCCACCCGTGGAAAGAGGTCACAGGGACGTCACTTCTAACTTGAAAGTGGAAGAAGAGCTGGATGAGCCTCTGAGGCAGGAGAGGTCATCCAGCAGCCAGGGGCCCGCCCCCCCCCCCCCCGCCTGTCCTGGGGCCACCTCGGGCCACCGGCAGCCACCCTGGCTATCTCCCCTCCAGGCTGAGCCTACTCCCGCCACAGCACCCTGACACCTTCAGGGGCCCCAGGGCAGCCTCTGCGTGGGCGCCGGGTGCCCTGTCTGCCCACCTGCCCGCTGTGGACGCTGTTGCATGTGGCCCCTCTTCCCACCCCCAGCTCTGGGCCTCACCATGCAAGGGCCCTCCACCCCTGGCCACTGGGCCAGGGTGCTCCATGCTCCCCAAGAGTCCTTCAGACCTTGTCCCCATGTCCAATCTAGAGGCTCAGAAGGACCCAGGTGGCCCTGGACTCCTAACGGTTGCCTGGGGAACGCGGTCAGCAGGGGCTGGTGGCTCAGTGCCCTGGCCCTCCCTACCTTCCCCGAGTCCTCTCTCCTGACCCCCAGGTGTCCTCTGATGCCCCCAACATGGCAGTGTGGGGTCAGCTCTTTCCCTTCCCACCAGGGTTGCCTGCTGGGAATTGGGGGTTCGGGAAGCCCTGGGTCCCTGAATTTGGGACAGGGCTGTTACAGGGTCAACTCTCCAGTTCCGCAAAGGCGAGCAGAGGGCAGGACGGTGGGCAGGCAGCGCCTCTCAGGGGGCTGGAGACCCCCATGGAGGAAGGGGAGGGCTGGCCAGGCCCATTGTCCGCAGGGCCAGGACGGGGCTGGGGGCAAAGGGGCTTGGTGGGAAGTGGGGCAGCCCCATGTTGGGGACTGAGCTGGAGGGCGTTCTGTCCCCAGGGGAGGTGGTCCCTGCTCCCCCACGGTCTGTGGTTCAGGGATCAGGCAGGGGTGGGCCAAGGCCAGCGGCATTGGGCAGCACTGGGCACTAGGTGGCCTCCTGGGGCATGGACACTCGTGGAGCTGGGGTGGTGGGTCTGGGCCTGTTCACCTGCTGCGTGGCCGCCTTGCCCGGGTGGCCGGGCTGCATTCCTAGAGCCCCATGGGCTGGAGCTAAGCGGACCTGGTGCTGACCAGCAGGCTCCTCAGGCTGCCCGAGGCTGGGCCGGCGGAGGCTGGCAGTGGGCAGGGAGCTCGGGCATGTGGGCCCCCAGAAATGCGTGGCCCTCCAGGTGGGGTCTGGAGAGACCTCACACCAGCAGACCAGGAGACGGTGGTGGCCATGGGAAAGGACAAGGGCAGACGGGACAGACGGTCACCGGGAATGGCACCCATCCACCAGAGCAAGAGACCACTTCACACCCTCGTCACACACGGACACAAGCAGGACTATGGGGGACAAGGGGCCACTGCGGCCAGGCAGCAGGGCTCCTGGGGAGGCGGCTGGAGGGTACTGCCTTCGCCCCTCCCTGGACACAAGGCCGCCCGTGCTTCTCTGGGACAGAAGGGGCCGGTTCCCAGGGGACACCTGGGAGAAGAACCTGAGATTGCTAAGCTTGAATCAGGCAGCCGCCTGCACAAGAGCCGTCCAGAGAGGGACCCAGGAAGGYGCAGTGTGACCCGTCCACTGGCCTCCGTCTTCAGGGTGACACTGGGGAGGGGCCATTCTCTTAAAAAGCAAGGAATCCAACTCCTCCTCTGCCTCTGGACCTGTGTCCCCGGAGCCAATCAGGGTGTCCAGGGCCCTTGGCTGTGGGATTTGGGTCAGGGACCACTAGTGACCACGGCCACCCCCGCAGCCGTCCCTGGCTCTGCCGGCTGCTGGTTCTGCCTTCCTGGAGACGGCAACTCCCTGTCACGCTGCCCTATGTACTGGGGTTAAGATACACGGAGGCCCAGGCGGGCAGGGTGGGGCCCTCGTGTCCGTGCCCACGGCCACACAGAGAATCTGTTACGTGATATTGCTGCAGTCTATGTGCCAGGTACAGTCCGGACCTCTACCGACAGAACACAGGTATCTATAAGGGGGAACACGGACGGTCCTGGGCCGGGTCACACACCCGCACGCAGGAGGGGCCGGGGAGAGGACCCAGGAAGCAGACAGGCAGGGGAGTGCACCACGGAGAACCAGGCCTTCCAGGGACAGGAGGGGACTCGGGCCTTGACCCTGGCCCTGACGCCTGGCYGCCTCCCTCTTGGGACCAGCCATTTACAAGATCTGGTTGTTTTGTGCAAAATGACTTAACTTCAAAAAACAGGGTGTTTCTAATCGTGTGCTGGCCCCGCCCTGGGYGTCCACCCGGGTTCCAGAACTTCCTCCATGATTGGGGGTGGGTTCTGGGRTCACAGAAGCAGGGAGCAGGGTCCACACCACCCCTTGTCAGGACACGCTGACGTCCTGTTCCTGGCCTGCTTGGGAACAGCACTGACAGCCAAGCCCCAGCGAGCCTGGGGTCCTGCTGGCCCTGCCCCTGGGACGCGGCTGCCCTCGGGTCCCCCTGCCCCCTGGATGCCCAGACAGAGCTGCGCTGGCTGGAGGCCCTGATGGGCGCCATGGGGCGCGGTGTCTTGAACCAGGGCCCAGCTCCCGCTCAGCAGGCAGCGCCTGGCATTCACCCTGTCCCTGGCCTCGGACCCGACAGGACGCACACAGGCCCCGTCTCTGGATGGACCCTACACGACAGCAGCCCGGGCGCAAATACATTAAATAAAACTAAAACAAAGCACGGCTTCTCTATTAAGGCTCAGTTGCGTTGCCTCCCGGGTCAAGTACTTAGGGCGCCGCCATCCACCCAGGGGCGGGCGGGCAGCCAGGCCCCCAGGAGTGGGCAGGGGAGCAGGGAGGACACCGGGAGCCCTGTGCTGGTCTAGTCGGCTGCTGGGGAGGTGGGCGACTCCGGGAGCCCCAGGCCCCACCTGCCCAGGCCGGGTGCAGGGAGGGCAGGGCGGCGGCTGGTGGTCTCGGGACCCCTCCTCCCCAGGAGGGAGTGCTTGTGGGGCCGGGGCCCCTCTTGGCAGTCGCGCTGGGCGTTGGGCGCAGGCCCTGTGTTGGCAGGCGGGTCCGGGCGGCTCGGGTCCCCCCAGGCTCGGCCTGCTCCTGCCCGAGCCTCTCCGGCCGCTGGGCCACAGGTGTCCATCTGAGGGAACCAGCCCTGAGCTCACGACCAGGGACCAGCGGCCAGGACACCTGTCCCYGTCCCCTGGGGTCTCCCCGAGCTGCGCACACTCAGCCGCGCTCCCCCGCCCCCACGGCGACTCTGGGGATGGGACACCCRCACCCCCTAGGACATGCTGGCTTCCTCGGGCGCCTGCCCCAGGCCCTGTGAGGCCACATGCGCAGTGGGTCACGTCCAGGTCCCTGGGCCTCAGAAACCATTTTCTGGGGTGGGGCTGGGGGCAGGAGGCCGGTCATTCCTGGCAGGGCTGGGGGCTCCGGGAGGCAGGAGGGGTTGGCAATGAGGGTGTCCAGAGGCCCYGTGCTCAGGGTCCAGGCAAGTCCGTGGAGAAATACTGCAGAACAATCTTCAGGGAGGGGCTGGCTGGCCCGGCGGCCGCAGGGCAGGAGCCCTTAGTGCTTCTCCGCCTGACTGACCTTCAGGGCGCTGATGACCCCGGTGATGTTCTCTTCTGGAACCTGCAGGCCACAAGCAAAGGCCTGAGGTTCCAGGAACCTGCCCCCCACCCCCCGCCGGCCCTGGTCCTGGGGCCCCCTCTCACCAGCGCGTGGTCGAACTTGAAGGTGCTGATGTAGTAGGCAGGGATGTCCGCCGCGGCCAGGGGCTCGGAGATCTGGGCCACGATGCCACATTCATCTGGGGAGAAGGCCTGTGCTCAGCCTCCGGGAGGCCACTGCAGGGAGGCTCCAGCCCACGCCCTGGGGCCGGGCTCCCAGCGCCTCCGCCAAGGGGCTCCCCGTGGCCGGTTCTGCCTGCTCTGACCACCCGGCCCATGCTGAGCCGCCCCCGCCACGGTCTTCCCAGCCAGGCCGCGAGCTCTCTGCAGACACCCCGGGGTGACCACGGCCTCGTCCTCTCCTCGACTCTGTTCCCACCATGATGTGAGGATCCCACCGGAGGACCCCCTATAGGAGGCCTCCAGGACCCGGGGCCGCTCTCCTGGACGATCCCCCAGAACCCCGCTGTGGTCAACCGGGGCAGCCTGCTTCTTCAGCAGGTGGGGGCAGGTCTGCCACAAGGTCCCCACGGATCCTGAAGCCCCCATCTGGGAACGGACCTGGGACCCACCCCTGTGSCCCTGGCCACGTCCCTGACTCTGCATCCTCAGCTCATGCCTGACTGGGGCAGGAAGGGCCGGGCAAGTCCCCTGCGTTCTGCTTGATCTGCRCAGGTGGGGGGCTCCTGCTAAACCCAGAGCCCCTGGCCCTGTGCAGGCCTCRGCCCGTGTGTCTGGTGACCGTCCACTCCTCCTGCGGTGCAGCCTGGCTGGGTCCTGAGACACCTTCAGCTGCAGACACGGCGCCTCCTATCAACAGCGGGCAGTGGATTAAGGCCCAGGAGGGTTCTTTTTGGTGCTGGGGACTGAACCCAGGAGTGCTTTGCCACCGAGCCACGTCACTAGACAGGGCCTGGCTAAGTGGCTGAGGCTGGCCTCGAACGTGTCAACCTCCTGCCTCAGCCTCTCAAGTTGCTGGGATCACGGGCATGTGCCACCACCCTAGGCTTAGCTCCTTCTGAACTGTGGGCCGTGACGTAGCCGGGAAGGTTGGTGACCAGCGTGTACACGTGGCACAGACCAGGGAAAGGCCGAGGCTCCGGAGGCAGGAGGAGCGTGGTCTTGTGGAGCCTGTCCAGCCATGTGTTGGTGACCACGGCTCCAGATGGCTCCTGCAGCTGGGCCAGAGYGCAGAGACCACAGGTGGGGGGCACCGCCAGCTCATGGCCGCAGGGGACCAGCCTTGACACCAGACCAAGGGCCCCCACAGCTTGCCCTCCATAGGGGGCAGCAGCAGCACATGGGCRGGGAGGTAGCCCGGGCAGGGGGCAGGACAGGGTGCTGTGCTCAGCTGTCCAGCCCGGTCGCCAGAGGCTCTCCACACCCTGCCCGCGGCATGGGAGGCGCAGAGCCAGGAAGTCGGTGGAGGGCGAGGAGGAGGGCGGCTGGCAGAGCCGGAGCTGGGCCTCGCGGCCCCGTGGCCCCGTCCACACTTGGCTGCTCCTTTGGGTGGCCCAGGGCGGGGCGAGGAGAGGGCCACAAGGAACCCCAGCTCTGGCCCTCGCGTCACATCACCACCCAGCAGCCACACCACGGCTCGGACCAGAGGTGGTGGCCGGGGACTGGCCAGAGCAGGGGCAGTTCCCAGCCTCCCACCACCCACCCCCACCCACCCCCAGGACCCTGTGTGAGCCCGGCAGTGCCCGCCCCGCCCCGTGCCGCCCGGGAGGCTCACCGAATCCCAGGGGCTGCCCTCCGATGCGCACCATCTTCCAGAGCTCCCCGGAGGCGCTTGTGAAGAGCAGGTTACTAGGAAACCTAGGGGACAGGAGGCCGGCGGGCATCACCGGCTCAGACCTTCCCTGCCCACTGGCAGCCATAAGGAAGGGGCAGGGCAGGCGGGGACAGTCCCCCCAGGGTCCTCGACCTGTTGCTCGCGCCCTCCTCCTTTTGGGGGGGGGTYGTGCAGGGTGGGCGAGGGTGGAGCAGAGGCACCGCCGCGGCTCAGGTCCCCACTGTGGCGCCTGCCAGGCACCTGGGACGAGGGGCTGCCCCGGGAGGCTGCAGCAGGGACAGCGGGAGCCCCCGTGCTGACCGTCTGCCCCGCCGGCTCACCTCTGCTGGGTCTGCACGTCCATCACGAGGGAGATGTAGCCCTCGATGAGGGAGAAGGAGAAGAAGCGGATGTGGCCTCCGTCGTCACCGGCAGCCATGGGGTCCTTCACTCTGGGGACGGGGAGCTGTGAGCGGGGTCCTGCTGCCCCCCCCCTACCCAGCAGCCCCCGCCCAGGCGGGGGGAGCTCAGCCTGGGAAACCGGGGCCCCCACACTCCCACCCTTCCTCACATCTGCCAGGGCCTGGGAGGCCTCGCTGCATTCACAGAGGCGGGCACCTCACTGCACGGTGCTGGAGGCCAGCCGGCCCTCGACGCGGGCCACGGGTGTCCTGCGTAGGCTTCTCTGCCCGTGTCACAGGCTGCCCAGGGCACAGGCCAGGGCCACTGCCAACCCACCAGACCCTGCCCCACCTGCCTTGACCTGAGCAAAACACTCTGAGGAAGGACGCAGAGTCTCGCCCACGTCCTCGGCCTGCCCTGCTGTGGCGCCCCCCACTGGGCACCTTGGACAACCCCTGCCCTTGCGCCACAGCCTCCCGGAACTCTGCGTCTCCCACGGTCTGCCAGCAGCGCGCCCCGGGGACCTACCCGTTGGAGTAGAACATGACGTCCATGAGGAGGGTGGCCACGGTGGGCAGCGTGTCGGGGTCCAGGCTGGTGACGCAGAACCTGTTGCTTGGGCTGGTCAGCGGGTGGATGACCGGCCTCTGGACTGTGAGGACACCAAGACATGATGCTAAGGCGTATGGACGGTGGGGGCTCAGGGAGAGGGCAGCTGCTGTGGGAGGCCCTGCAGCCTCTCCAGCCTCCACTACCACCCGAGCTGCCAGTTCTCCATGCTTGACCCCGGCCTCAGGGCCTTTGTACATGCTTCTCCAGCTGTGGAATGGCCGTCCCAACCTTCACGCTGGCTCAGCTTTCCTTTGTGCCCAAGCCTCTGCCCCACAGTTCTGGACCCAGGGAAGTCCCTCTGATATCCTAGGCCAGGGTAGAAGTGGCCTTTGGCCACCTCGCCTGCATCCAGGGCCACCACCTCTGCTAGACCTCAGCAGCAAGGTCTGACCAGGACCGGCCCACGTCACGCCTGGCGCCCACGGAAGCCCATGCACTCTGAGTGGGGCTGGTGGGAAGTAGGACTGGGACATCCCCAGGCACAGCCCCGGCCGGACTCACCCATCTTGGGCTTCACGAAGCCATTGGTGATGCCGAGGTCGTCGGCGGCCACGGTCTCGCCATTGACCACCCGCAGGATAGTGAACTCGGTGGACAGGGTGTGGGTGACGAAGGGCAGGTCTCGCTCRCGCACCTGGGGATGGGAGGCGGGGCCCTGAGTCCCTGGAAGCCCTGGGCCGTGGGCCGAGACCCTGCCCCAGAGCCAGCTCCCTCCCTCTCCGGGTGGCCTCTGGGGGGGGACCTGGAGAGGACAGGGGGGTGGGCTGCACCAGGTGCTGGGGCGTGGGCAGCTGCCTGTGGCTGCCCGGCAGGCCTGGCCGCGGCTCACCAGGATGAAGTCCGTCTGGTAGGTGGACAGCATGAACACGGAGATGTTCTGGTCGGCCAGCGGGGCGATGACGGACTTGGCGATCTTGGTCACTCCGATGGGCTGGGAGCTGGAGAAGCTGCCGCCACCGGACACCACATTCAGAGCCAGCCAGGTGGCATCTGCCACACTCAGGTGCTCCGAGGAGGGCAGCTCTGTGGGGATAGAGGGCAGCCTGTGACCCTGCGCCTCCGCAGCTCCCTCTAGGCCTTGGCCAGCTCTGCCCCCCTCTGGGCCTCCCCACTGGTCAACAGAATGGGATGTGCCTCTGAGGTCCCTCCAGGGAGGACCGGGCAGCTCTGCGGGCAAGAGGTCATCTGTGGGCACCCTGGTTTCCTTGGCTGTCACGTGGGCAGGGACACCTYGGCCTTCCCCCAGTTCTCTGTCCTGCCAGGTGCTGTCACACCATCTTCCCTGTCCCCAGGGTAACTCGCCCAGGTTTTCAAACTGAGTTCCAGGGGGCCTTGCAATGGACCCTGGGCAGGTGGGGGCCTGGCGCAGGGCGGGCGGGGGTCCTGCAGGCTACCCCTGCTGCCAGGCCTCCCCTGGGCTCCCCAGGAAGAGCACGCAGCCCCGGGAGGCTCAGGGTGACTCTGGCATGGGCGGGGGGACAGCTCTGACAGCAGGAGTCACCACGTCCATGTGTCTAGCCTGCGGAGACCTGGAATCCAGATGCCAGGGCCACCCTGCTGGTCCTGCAGACAGCACCCAGAGACCCTGCACATGGGGTGTGGCACAGGCGTTGTCTCCAGGACACRGACTCACAGGCCCTGGGATCAGAGGGGGGACAGGCACCTGGAGGCGGCCTCTGCGCCCTGCAAGGCCCTGCAGTGGGGACAGGTCATTCTCACTGGACATCCCCCAATGCAGAAGCTCTGCGAGGGTCGGGGACTTGTCCAAGGTCACCGAGGTGGGGACGAACAGCACCAGGCCTCACACTTGGGCCTGGGCACCTGTGAGAAGAAGGACCAGGTCCCCAGGAAGATGGGGCTCAGAGACTGGCCAGTGAAGGGRGCTGTGCTGGGCTCAGGCAAGAGGCCCGCCAGCCCAGCTCTGGTTGCTATGGTGACCGCAGCCCGGGAGCCCCCCTGGTCCTGCTGGCTGGGRAGGGCCAGCGGCCAGCCTCCGTGGGGAGGAGCCCAGGGGCTTGGCGGTGGCCTACAGGGCCCTCTGTCCTGGTGAGGGACACCTCACCTGCTCTCTAGGACCAGAGCCAGAGCCTCATCTCAGGGTGGGACCCCGAGGGGCCTGAACCTGGCCACGGAGGCACTTGGTGTGGGTACTGGGGGCCCCTTGCCATCTCAGCCGTGCACAAGGACAAAGGCCTGGGACCTGGGCTGCCCTGACGCTGGCCCACAGCTGGCCCTCTGCTCCTGGGCCAACCCCGACTCTCCTGCGGGGGGCGAGTCACCGACAGATGCCATGTCAACATATTTGATGGAGTCAAAAAGTGTCCCTCTCCGCGAGCACAGGGCACTCAGGGCCTTCCTGGGACAATCCTGGTGTGGCTCTTCACACCTCGAGGCCACGTCCATGCTGGCCAGTCCCTCTATGGTTGTCCTGTCAGTTCCAAGTCCCAGACTGACCAGCTGCTCCGTCTCCTTCCAAGTGGAAACCAAGGTCCACAGAAGTGCTGCCCAGGGCTGCCCGGGGAGCTTTCTGTGGCCATACCTCCTGAGCCTGGCAGGCTGGGGTCAGGGGTGACGTCCAAGCCACACCACTCTGGGTCTGGCAGTTGACCCAGGCCACCTTCTCTGAGTTCTCCACCCACAGGGAGGGCAGGGGGAACGTCACCCTCTGCTTACGGGTGAGCTGATGGCCCCGAGAAGCCGCTCCTTCCCGGTGTCACAGAACAGGCCAGAGGCAGGCTGACCGGCTACAGGTCATGGCACAGGTGAGGGGGTCCCCCAGGCACCGAGGACAGCCCTCCCTGCCCACCTTGGCTGCCAGCCTGCGGTGGGGGCTGAGCTCCAGAACTGAGGGGGAGGTCAGCTTGGACACCTGTGGATGGCCCCTCCCCAGGCCTGCACGGCCCGTCCACGCTCAGCCAGAGACCACTCACAGCTGGGTGTCTCCCCGTACCCCAGGGTGCGGGGGCAGGGCGACGACCCAGGCCATGGGCTTTAACGGTGTGGCCCTGGCTGCCCTCCCCACAGAGGCCCCCAGAGGCTGCTGCTTCCTAGACGGGAGGACATGTCATCTGTGGAGATGCTGCTGTCACTGAGGTGCCACTAGTTTCCTGGGCCTGGAGGAGTCGCGGGGGGGGGGTCTCTAGGGGAAGTCCAAGCCAGAGACAGCCAGAAATGGGGACACAGGGTTCGGGGTGACGTCTGGCAGCCCACAGGGGGACACTGCCAGGAAGAGCTCAGACCAAGCCAGCAGCTGCCATCTGAAAGGCCTGCCATCCGGCGGGCACTGCCCACCTTGCTCTCAGCCTCAGCCCAGGTGACACCACTGAGCTCCTTCAGGTGACAGGCACAGAGACCCTGGGCTTCGCTGCCCCCACCTGAACACTGCCTGGCCCTGGGGAGGGGAGGTCCTCCTGTGCCCCCTCCTCACCCCGGGCCAAGCCTCAGGGCGCCCACGGTGTCACTCTGGGGCCTTGGGGATAAGCCACAGCCAGCCAGGCCTCCTGCGGGGAGCAGACCACTCCAAGGCCAAGTGCATTCTTCCTGCCGCTTCCCGTCATCCAGGACCCCAAAGTAACCTCCCGGGGCCGAGGCCTCTCCCCATCTTGCCCTGGCCCCGGGACTGTGGCTCGGAGTGTAGGGTGCACCCTGAGGTCAGGCGGGTGGGCTGAATCCAGCTGTGTGACATGGCCAGGTCCCCGCCCCGGGTTCCTTTGTGTTCAACGTGAGGGGCTGAGGGCAGAGGGCACCGAGAGTCCCTCAGCTGATCTAAGTGCCGTCACCCCAGGGCTCAGCCAGCACCACAGAGCTTCTGTGACCTCGTGGCTTCTGCCCGCCTTGCTGGTTCCGGTGCCCGGGTGCCCAGGTGCCATCAGGGTCTCGAGGGCTCATTCTGTGGGGTGCGGATCGCGGGCAGGAGCACGCGGCCCAGAGGGCTTCCAACAGACACCCGGGCAGAATGCCATGCGTGGGTCAAAACATGCACCAAACATCTCTTTAGACAACAGAGAAAACCCGAGTGTCACGTTCATGTCAGAGGTGACGTTCTGACGTCTCGGTGGGGGACCCTAGCCCTGTGCTCAGGGTGACCTGCCTGTGTCCTAGGGCTCAGTGTTTATGGAGGAGAGGGAGGACCTGTCCTCGGAGGTGAGCAGCGAGTCCCGCCTCGGGGAGGCTGCGCGGCTGTCCCTACGGTGGGCCTGACCTCTCTGCAAGTCTGAGCCCTGACCCTGGGGCCACTCCAGCCAGCACCACATGGTGACAGAGGACGAGTGAAGGTGGGGTGGCTCAGGGACAGCCGTCCATAAAGCCACCCTGGGGAGGCCCGCAGGGGAGCGGGTGGGTGGGAGCCGGGTGTCCCGGTCCTCAGGTCCACCCCTCCTGTCCCTCGCTGTCCTCCAGCCGCTGCCCACTCTGGGCAGCGCAGCCTCAGCTCTGGGCCAAGCTGCTCTGTTAAAGTCTGGGGTACGGGACGTGTGTGAGGGTGCACGGTGCCTGGGCCGCCTGCCRTGCGGGGACAGCGGGAAGAACGTGCCCCGAGGCTGGGCCTCTACCTTAACCAGGACACCAGCTCCTCCACTGTGCTGGACGGGGGGCGAAGGTGACTCCCCGCTGGGGGACCCCTCTGCCCCTTGGCTCACGGAGACGGCAAACTGCGCACTGAGCCGGGAAGGAGACGGCAGGAGCCAAGGCTCTGCTGCTGACTGGGCAGGTGCGCAACAGACAGCGCCCAGGGACCCTGCGGACCTCGGGCTAGGGGGCCGTCACTGGCTCCATGCTGCTGGGCAGCTCGTCCCCGGTCAGGAGCACGGCAGAGCCTGGGTGACCCGGCTGGGTGGGAGGCAGGAGTCACGGSTGCCGTTGATTTTTGAGGTGCTGGGTGGAACCCAAGGTCTTGTTCCCGCTAAGCAGCACCCTCCCAGGAGGCCGCACCTGACCCGCAGGTGACTCCTTGAGCCAGGGTCTCCCTCTGCTGCCCAGGCTGGCCTCAGACTCCTGAGGCTCAAGCGATCCTCTAGTGTCAGGCTCCTGAGTAGCTGGGATTACGGTTGTGTGCCACCGCGTCCGGCAGGAGTTGAAGCTCAGTGTCCTCCTTCCTCCTACTTTTGTCTGACCTCCACCCACTGACCACTCCCTGGCCATGTGTGCTACGGGTCACGTGGACACCACTGCTCGGTGATGGGTGAAGCCAGCTCGGCACCTGGCCCCGTAGCACCTGGCCTAGGGGTGCCCCCAGCCGGGGGCTGCTTCTGCTCTAGTGGTCCCTGAGGACGCACAGCACGTGGCCAGCGCCTGCTAGACACAGAGAAGATCAGGTGCGCACAGCTCACCCGCCGTTTGCCACCCAGCCCACACGCGCCCACCTGAGCCAGGAGCCCCTACGACTTCCAGGTCACAAAGAACCGCGCTGGTTCCTGCTGCCACCATCTGAGCCCCTCCGGGGGCTCAGCGACCTGCGTACTGCGACCTGCAGACGGCGGCTGGCTTCTGCCGAGACAGCTGTCGGTCACCAGATGCTCTGGCCAACGGCAAGAGGGGCCAAGGTGGCCCTGGGTGACAACCAAAGCTCTCGGAGCTGGGGGTGCCCCACTCTGTCTCTCGGCAGCACAGCGGGGCCACCACTGCCCCTGGTCCCTCGGGGCGGCCACCAGGCCAGAACCCTCACCCACAGACACTCCCCTCAGTCCTTCCAGAACCTTCCACCGTACCCAGGAACACCAGCCACCCCTGCCCCCAGGTGCTCTGGAGCCTCGGTCTGTAGGTGCCACACTGCCCCATGGCTGCCCCCCGGGACCCCAGGGAAGCTCACCTGAGCGATGGGCTGGCCCCAGGTGGCTTCCCAGCTCTCTTGGTGGCGGTCACTGGGCGCCTGTTCCTCATACTTCCCCCACCTGTGGCTCCTTGGTGACGGTGCCAGGGACATTTATGACTTAAACACACCCAGTGTCTTTTCTCAGGTGGTCACGGACACCCTCGCGGCCCAGCAATTGTGGCCTGGACAGGAGGCCATCACCCAGGGCTGGCCCTTCCCGGCCCCCGCGGGGCACGCCTCGCCTGCTTGCCCTCTGTCTTGCCTTCTCTGAGAGAGCACTGAGCCCAGGCCCCATGTCGTCCCCACTCTGCTCCGGCCACCGGGATGGGCCCGGGGCCCGCAAGGCTGCTCAGGGAGCCCCTGGGTCAGTTCTGGGGTCGAACCAGGGCCGCAGAGGAGTAAGGCCAGGCCTACAGGACCTGCGCCCGGGGCCTTCAGGGCACCCTTATGGCTCTGGGGAGAGGCCGTGGTGGAGGAGCTGCGGGGCTCCCTCTGTGGGCAGTGAGGAGCCTCAGAGGGGCCTGAGGCCTCAGAGTGGACACAGCCCGCTGGACACCTGCAGGAGACCTCTCAGCAAGCGCAGCCCCAGGGGCGGCTGGAGCACTCGGCCAGCTGCAGAGTCCCACCGACTCACACGACTCCCCCTCCCCTTCCCCGGCCTCCCAGCCCTCCAGGGCCAGCAAAAGTGCCCCCTCCTCCAGATGTCCTCCCTGACGGTGGGTCCACTGGAAGCAGCCTTCCTAGCCCCCAGAAAGGGCCAGGGAAGACGCTGCTCTCCCACACCCCAGCGAGCTCGGGCGGGGGCTGCTGCTGGCCAGGCGGAGAGGTCAGGGAAAGCCTCCAGGCGAACGCAGACCTGGACACCCTCTCCTCCTCCGCGCAGGCCGCCAGCACCACGAGGATCCTTTCCCGGGCACAGGGGCGCACACCTGTGATCCCAGCTATTTGGGAGGCCGAGACTGGAGGATCTCAAGTTCAAGGCCATCCTCAGCAACTCCGTGAGGCCCTAAGCAACTCAGCAAGAGCCTGTCTCAAAATAAAAAGTAAAAAGGGCTGGGACGTGGCTCAGTGGTCAAGCGCCCTGGGGTTCAGTGCCCAGCGCCGAGGGCCAGGGAATCCTCTGATGGCTCAGAATAAAGGCCCCCCACTCCCYGGCCCCAGCCTTCCTGGCCTCAGCTGTCCCTCTCTTCTTCCTGCCAGGTTCCCTGGGGCTGCCGGCCAGCCCCCCGTCTCTGGAAGCCCAGGACTGTCTGGAGAGCCCCTCCGAGTGGCACCCCTGCAGGGCTCACTGTGGACTGCTCCCTCCAGGAAGCCCTCTGGGACTGCACCCTTGCCCTCTGACGCAATCATCGGTTGGCTGTTCCCAAGTCTCTTAGAGGCCGAGGCTGGACCCCTTACCTCTCCTCTCTGCCCAGGGCTTGGCCCACGGAAGCATCTAGACTCAGGTGTGAGGCCCTGGGCAAGCTGTGACCTTCCGGGCCTCGGTACCCTCCTCCACGCAGCTGGGTGACAAGAGCCATTCCAGGCGTCTGCAGAGGGCAGCGTGCCAGGCTGGAGAGAGGTGGACATTTGGGGACATTGCTCCCGGTTCTGACTCCACCGAGGTGGGAAGCACCTCCCTGGCTGCTCAGGTCAGCACTGTGTCCACTGGACGCCAAGGCGCTCGACGCTTAGCACGAAACAGGCTTGGGTTGGGGACTCTGCCCAGCGGCAGGCTGGCTCAGTCACCCTGGTCTTGGGGACCGTGGGCCCTGCTGGCTGCCCCGCTGGGGACGTGCGCTGTGTCCACTTACGACAGGGTTCTGGGGCGGTCCCTTCGGAGGGAACGAGAACCCGGGTGTGACTTTCCTCCTCCAGATCCCGGGCCCCTCCTGTGGTCCCCTGCACAGGGACCCCTGTGGGGAGTTCTTGTGGCTCAGGGACTCTGTGCACTTGGCCGGCGGCCTGTGGAGCTGGGCTGGACCCTCCCCTCCCTGGTCTGGTCCAGGGCTGGGCACAGCAGCTGTCAGTAAACGCTGCCTCTATCTTGTGAGGCCAGTGGCCTCGGGTGAGCAGCGCCTTGGCCACAGGACATCTTCTCGGCCACAGATGGTCCCTGGAATGTGGCCCCGGGGGGGGGGGAGCCTCCCTGTCTCCCTGCTCCTCTGGCCTCTCACCCCCACTGCCTGGCCCCATCTTGGGGGTGGACTAAAATGACCATCTACTCCAGGGAGCCGAGGCCCCGCCACTTCCCTCTGCCTCTGGGGTGCTGCGAGCTGCAGCTCTGGGTAGAAAGGTCCGTGAGTGGCGGAAGAAATGGGACTGTTGGGGTCCACATAAACAACGGAACATTACTCGGTCATGAAGAAGAATGAAATCATGGCATTTGCTGGTAAATGGCTGGATCTGGAGATGACCGTGCAGGCGTGGCACTGACAGACAGGTTCATCTTGTCACGCTAAGTGAATAAGCCAAGCCCCCCCAAACCAAAGGCCAAACGTTCTCTCTGATACGCGGGTGCTAATCCACAACCGGGGGTGAAGGGGAAAGAAGTTCACTGGATTAGACAAAGGGGAGGGGGGTGGGACTGGGAAAGACGGTGGATGAACTGGACACCACTTTCCTGTGTTCACACGTGACYGGTGACACTCCACGTCACTACAACCACAGGGTGGGATCCTGATTAGAATATGTCATACTCCACGTGTGCACAATACGTTAGGCACACTCCACGGTCACGTCACGTGAATAAATCAAACAAATGAGAAYGCGTCTGAGCTGCCGGGCTCGGGATTCCCAGGGCACAGGGTCCCCARGGCGCGCTCTGTGGTCAACCCGGGAGCTCCTGTTTCCTCTGCTCGGAAACAACGACCGGGAGTGGGCGGCGGGTGCCCGATTGCCCTCTGCACACACACGCCCCTCCCTGCGGAGCAGGAGGCCCTGGCCCTGCCCTGGCCACGCACTGCCCCCTGCAGGTGGCCAGGGACACTGCGCCCGAGATGGGGAAGTGGGCCGGGTTCCCTGCCCTGGCTTCCAGTCTCTGAAGGACCCAGGGGGGGAAATGGCCTGTCCCCTCCTGTGACCGTCACCCTCTCATCAGTGGCGCGAGGCTGCACTGCTGCCCCGAGGCCCCACCAGACGGCCACGCRGCCAGCTTCCCATGGGCGCCCTTTCTGGTGCCGTTCTGGGGCCCGGCTGAGTGGCTTCGTGTGCTGAGGTGGGTTCCTCGGTCCACCCGGGGGTCAGCAGGGACTGACCACAGGGCCTGGCGCCAGAGGCAGCTTCTCTCCAGTCTGAGAGCAGCCACCTGGGCCCGGACACGGGAGGCGAGGCCACTCGTCCCTCTGGGCCAGCCTGCGGACTCTCGGACGTCCACTGGCCACGTTTCCTGCAGCGTCCACGGGCCTGGGGGACCGGGCCCTCGCCTTGCTGCTGGGCTGCACCGGCCCCTCCACAGCGTGGGGGTGAGTAGCTGGGGGTCCCTGCAGGGGTCCAGCCCCCGCCCGTGGGAAGGCACAGGCTGCCCTCTGCCTGTCACTGCAGGGTAGAAGGTGACAAAGTGAACTCGCCCGTCGGTGTCCTGCCTGCAGCCGAGAGCTGGGCGCAGCCTGGGCTTTCAGAGCACAGCTCGAGGGACCTGGGGACAGGGAGTGGGGACCGGGCGTCCTGGGGAGGGGGCGAGGCCTGGAATCAGATCGAGTGACAGGCACACCGCACAAAGGTGACCCTGGGGCTGGGGTGCCACTCGGGCGAGGTGCCTGCCGGGGGCTTCAGGACACAGCGACACCCCTCTCAAAGGACGGAAATGAGAACGACGGGGGACGGAGGGCGTCCTCCACGGAGCCAGGTCACGCTCACCAGGGCCACGCTGCTCCTCCCCCCAGGTCCCCGACCTCAGGGCCCCTCAGGGGCAGGGGACGGGGTGGGCGGCCACTCACCCAGGAAGCCCTCCTCATCCACGATGATGGTGTAGTCCTCCGGCGTCTCCGTCAGACTGAAGAACTTGCACCTGGGGACAGACAGGGACACGGTGGTCAGTCCTGGCTGGACCCAGTGGGGTGCGACTCTGTTTCCCCAGAGCCCCGACCCTGGGCTGTGGGGACTCGCACCCTCCATGTCCCCACGGACCCCCAGTCCTGGCTGGGGGTGGTCACAGAGAGGCCTACAGATGCTGAATGTCCCCTGGCCTCCCCGGTCCTTGAGGACCCGAGCCAGACCCTGTGGTCCTCTGGGCCACATCCCGTGGCACCTTCCACAGGGCCCTAGAGGCCTCTGGTGGCTCCTGGAGGCCCAGCGGTCCAGCCGCCAGGCCGCCACCTGCTCAGGACAGAAGCTCCGCACCAGGACGTGCGCACTTGTCTCCTGACCGCCTCTCGTGGCCCGAGCTGCAGAGGCCCCGCGACCCTCCTTCCACGCAACGTGCAGGAGGGCTAGTGACCCTGCGCCCCTGTGGGGTCACACACTGGGAGTCTGTCCTCGTGACTTCTGGAAGAGGACAGGCCAGCGAGCCTTTGTGGGGCCGGGACGGCTCCATTGCTCCAGGGTGGCCGCTGGCAAGACCCTGTTGTCCATCAGGTCAAAGGAGGCCCTGAGCCACGCCTGGGAGCCCGACCCCGGGGAGGCCGGGCGGAGCCTCCACTCCCTAAAGCAGCCTCCCCCCAGGTCCAGGCCAATCGCCGTGGCTGCCTGGACAGGTGGYAGCCCTCACGGCTCCTGGACAACAGCCAGGGGTCACAGTTGTAAGTGGCCACCAGGGGCCCGGCCTGGCCCTCCCGGGGACCCCTCATGCTGCGAGGAGCCTCCCGCCGTCCCAGAGCCCCAGGAAGGAGAAGGGACCCCGTGGTTGCTCCTGTCACCCTCGTGGCTGGGGACACTCCAGAAAGAGACCATGCAGATGGCTCCGCGGGACACAGACTGCGGCAGAAGGCCACCAGGCCCCTGCACTCAGGGTTGAATAAAGAAGGCGTTGGGTGAGCCGACCGGGCAGTGCCCGCGGCCTGCCTGCTGTGGGACACCCGCCTCAGGGACAGGTGGCAGCCCCGGAGGGCAGAGCAGTGGAGGGACCAGCTGCATCACCCGGGTGACCAGACTCGGCTCTCGGACGGGCTCTCCACGTCCCCGTGACCCTGGRTCCCCGAGCTCTGCTCCCCCGGCGCGGCTCTGGCTGGAGGCTGCGTCGGCCTCCTGCCCGGTCCTGCCCGGTCCTGCCCCTGTCCTGGCCCGTCCTGCCCTGGCTCCTGGCSCGCCGTCCATGCTCCGCCCGCCTCCAGGGTTGGCAAGGGCTCCTTCCACTGACCGGCACGTCCTCCTCTCCTCCTTGGCTGCCGACTCCCTGCCCAGCCTCCGGGAACAGTCCCAGCCTCTCCTCAGGAAAATCCCTTCCCAGTCAGCGCCAGCCACTTTCTCCCTCAGCTACCCCAGAGTGGTCCTCCTGGAGGCCAAAGCCTCAGGYTCTCGCCCCTGTCCTGGAGGGGACGTCTAGGACACTATGGATGGCTTAGAGTTGCTTCCCAACTCTAAGAGTTCATTCTCCTCATGGTCTACATGAAATACGCCCTGACAGCTGGGCAGTACACAACCCGGGCAACTGCACATAACAGTTCCGAGTGCTGTCCACAACTTATTACAGACACTTTGTAGGAGAAGGGGGGTCTGCTTCTCCCAGGAGGCTGTAAGCTCTCAGAGGCTAGGGCAGTGGGTCCTCTGGACRCACATCCAGAACCCACCCCTGGCTGGTATAAAATCAGCACTTGGTGACTGCTAAGCTAAGGGTCACACACTGCTGGGTTTTTTTTTTTTTTTGTACTGGAGATTGAACCCAGGGTCCCTCGACCACTGAGCCCCATCCCCAGCCCTATTTTGGGTTTTATTTAGAGACAGGGTCTCACTGAGTTGCTTAGCGTCTCACCATGGCTGAGGCTGGCTCTGAACTCGCGATCCTCCTGCCTCAGCCTCCTGAGCTGCGGGGATCCCAGGCGKGCCCGGCCCACACCTACCTTGGCAGCTGGAGAAGCCGTGGCCTGCACCAGCTCTGCCCGTCCCCGGGTGGCACTGTYTGCATGGACCCCTCTCCTCTGGGGGAGGCCACAGTCTCCAGTCCCTACTCTGCCCTCTCTCAAGCCACGGCTGGACGCACAGCCCAGTGTGGGTGGCCACGGGTCCCTGACTACAGAGAGCTGAGGGGCAAGACCTGTCACCAGGYCTGGTGCTCGGGGCTGCAGGAGACCTGCCTCATCCTGCACCACGAGGGACAGGCCCAGGGTGGCCCAGGTGCTGTCCAGCTCCAGCCTGGGCAGTGCCCAGCCTTCAGGGACCCTGCCAGCCCCCCAGCAGGCAGACCCCCAGCCCTGGCCACTGGGGGGGACCAGACAGGTCATCCCAGAACCAGCCAGTCTGTCCGGAAAACTCCCAAGAACAGGAAAATCCCCCAACCAGTGCTGATCCAGTCCCAGGAAACTGGACTGGACGAGTGACAGACCTGTTCCCACACGACGGGACGGGGGCGCAGCCCGACTCTGGAGGGGAGGGCACTGTCATGTCTCAGTGGAGAGTGTCCTTCGTGTGGGGCAGTACACACCCCGTGCAACTGTGTGTGACGGTCACTTGGCAGGTTCCGCAGAAGCAGTCAGGTCGACGCGAACCCAAGAGCCCCGAGCAACGAGAGGGAGACCACGGTGACAGCAGCTGTGGCTCACTGTGGTTCAGGGCACACCCCAAGAATCAGGGTCCCCTGCTCAGGGGCACCACAGCACCCTGGGGTTCTAGGAAGAGAACACGGGTCCTGGGGGAGGGCAGGTAGCTCGAGGAAGCCCAGGTCTGTTCAGGGCATCACAGTCAACACAGAGCATGCCCAGGGGGGCCGAAGGGACCCTATACTGTGTCCCCACCAGCCTGGGGGAGGCTCCAGTCACACCGTGGACTCTCTGAAGGGACCATGGGACGCCAGCTGTGTGACTTCAGGCACGTTTCCCGCCCTCTCCTCTCCCTGGGTCCAGGGGGTGAGGGCTGTGCCACGTGCTCCTGCCTGACCACAGGCTGGGAGCAACAGGCCCAAAGGACCATGGACTGAACCTCTGAAAACACAAGTCCCAACAGACCTTCCCTCTTTTTAAGCTGATGGTCTCAGGTGTTTCGTAACAGTAACAGAAGCTGACCCCACAGCTGGCTTGGAGGTGGAGTCGTCCACTCTAAGCCCTGGGTAGGCGAGCTGCAGATTCCAGGGAGGACGGATGGGTTAAGCCACCTCCATGCCTGGTGGACAAGGGTTTTTAATTCTCTTCTTTTTCATGCTAGGGATGGAACCCAGGGCCTCGCGGATGTGATGAAACACTGCACCACCGAGCACCCACCACCCTCTATTCCTTAAACACCCACCTCTCCCGAGCTGCCCCGAGCACACCCTTCAGCTGCAAGGTGCCTGTTCACCTTCCAGCTGCCCCCAGGTGGCTGGGGATAGGACAGGGACGCTCCTTTATAACAGAACAGGAACCGAGCCAAACCCGCAGTCCGGAGCATGACCCAGGCTGGTCCCTGGCTCCCGACAGCTGTGGCCAAGACCTCAGGAAGTCGTCAGCCTCTCGGCAGGACTGAGCAGAGCTAGGCAGGTGGCCTGAGAGCACCGCAGGGCTTGATGCGCCCCCCCCCCCAATGCTGCAAAGAGCAGGGCTCAGGGAGGGTGGCTGGGTGGAGCCCAGGGCCTGGACGCGGCTCTGCCAACGACCCACGCAGGTCCCGGCCCGGTGCAGAGTCGGGGCTTCTTACCAAGCGCGGCCCCTGCAGTCTGAAAGAAGGGCTTCAGCCACATCTCTGCAGCCACCAGGGAGGGACCAGCTGAGCCTCCTCCGGGGACACACTGCCCCCGCTGGCCACTCAGGCCGCCAGGTCGCTGGGGTACAGAGGGGCCCTGATTGGCCATGTCCACAGGGCCTCCTGTGCCAGGCAGAGTCTGGCGGGTGGCAGGCGGGCTCTGCTCTTGGCGGGCGTAGCCCCTCCCCACCRCCTCCCGCGTCCCTGACACCTCATCTCAGCACCTGGCCACGGGAGGCGCAGGGGGCAGCTCGAGCCGTGGCCGAGCCCGAGCCCTGCCCGGCTTTTGCCAGCCAAAGGGTGGACCCGACGGGCACTGCCTTCTCTGTAAGATGGAAGACAGACCCTGCTGTGTCACGGGGGCCATTGGGGGATCAGTGAAGGCACGTGGCCACCTGGGGAGACCTGCAGGGGCAGGACCGCGGATGGCAGAAGGGACAGGAAGATCTGGAAATGCCCGGGGACCCAGCTGGCCCACTCCCACCCTGTGGGGGCCCCGGGTCTCTGGTGGCGTCTCTGGTGCCAGGTGCTCGCTGACTTGGGGGCTCCCAGGCCACTCGCCATCCCCCTCCCCATGAGCGCCCGCGCCTGCCAGCGGTCACCTCCCTGTGAGGAGCTCCGTCACCGTGCTGAGGTCACAGTTCCAGGGCTGCCTTTGCCACGGCCTCTCCTCTCTCAGCCCGGCCCCCAGTGCCCCGACGCCACACAGCACCTGGCACAGGGTCCGTTACACAAGGAAGGCGTAGAATGGCAGTCCCCTGGGAGACTGGTCATGGGACCCTCGCGGACACCCAAGTCCTYCGATGCTCAAGAGCCCTCCACAGAGTGGCTTGGCACCCGTGCTGAGTCTGCGCCCATCTCGCTTCACGCTGTCTCTGGACACCGGAGGACATCCCCTGGGCGCACGGTGGCACACGGTGGCCTCCTCACTCGCACGACACCCGCAGCACTAGGTGCACAGCAGGTTCAAGTCTTGCTCTGGGGACTTCTGGGTCCCTCCCTGCCCTGTTCCTGCCACAGATGGGCATATGGACAGCAGCTTAGGCGGCCAACCCCGACCTTGCCTCCCATGGGGGCTCCGTGAGCCTCCGTCCAGGGGCGTCCACCCTCTCACTGATGTAACGGGAGGCAGGAGGAGGACGGTCCCAACGGCCTGTTCTCAGTRACGACCACCTGGCTGCAGGCCAGAGGCCCATGGCAGGA